TAAGTTCGAGGCCAGCCTGGTCTACACAGTGAGTTCCAGGACAGCCAGGGCTACACAGAGAGACTGTCTCAACCCCCACCCAAAAAAAGCTACTTGGTACCACATACCTATCTTCTCTTCCTGGACCAATCCCAGCACTTTTCCCACCTGTTGCTCCTCTTAACTACTGAAGAGCCAACGGTTTCTCAATCTAGAGTCTTCTTGTTGAAACGCTGCTCTTTAATCACATTTCTCAAACTTTACAAGTTGTCTCTTTAAGCTCCCACTAAATGCTACTTAGATTTCAAGTAACTATTACTCAGGGAGAGGGAGGGAGGGAGGGAGGGAGGGAGGGAGGGAGAGGGAGAGGGAGAGGGAGAGAGAGAGAGAGAGAGAGAGAGAGAGAGAGAGAGAGAGAGAGAGAGAGAGAGAGAGAGAGAGCACTCCAAGCCTTGAAATACTCCAATACACTGAGTATCAAGTCTCTGCAAGTGCCTTGGAGGTCTCTTCTCCCTTCAGAAGCAAGTGCACTTACAGGTTCTATCCCTGTACAGCTACTCCACAGGGGTCACACTCCTACTGTCTCACTAGACTACTGTCCCAGGATGTGGACTCAGTGTTACTTCTCCCTTTAGGTCAATGTCTACAGACAGCAAAAGAGGCACAGGGGCTTTGTCTACATAGAATGTCCAAAAGGTTAAGAAGACGAAGTTATTCACCTTAACAGTGACTGACAACTCTGAGGAATCCCAGCTGACTCCAGAGAAATCCCAAAGCAGATTAGGGCACAAAGTAACAGACGTCATCACCTGTGAAGAGATTTAGTGCCTAAAGCTGGAGATAATAAAACCTGAAAACTTAAGAGAACTAAGATGAAAACTATGACTCAATCGTGCATATTCTAGAACAGTAAAGAACTGAAAACAACTAAGAATTTATAAACCACCACTTAACACGAGTTGAAACAATAAACATGTTACTAAGCAATGCATGAAGTTAAGGGAATTTGATGTAAGAAGCAAATGAAGACACGAAATGAGATAGTCAACTAATATTTAATGTAGTGTTCAGTAAGGACTTTTGGATAAAGGTGGGGTGAGAAAAACAATCTGTTGGCTGCCATTCCCCACCAGGTCTGCTCTTCTGGAGGTCAGTGTCTACCCATCAAAGACGCAAAACCTACACCGGACAGTTCATATAGAAAGTGTGTGTCACGACGGCTAAGTCACACAACTCTAAGCTCCAAGAGTAAGAAAAAGAGCCACCCTGCAAACAGTTTGTAAAAGTTCATGTTCCCAGAGCTCCAAAAAGAATTCTGAAAGAATTAGCAACCAGATGCTACCTTGGCTTTGTGCAGAGGTCAACGGAGGTGGAAACACTGAGGACACCACCGTCTTGACAGGCTACACGAGTGAGAATCCCCCTTCTTTCCTCATTTCTCAGTAACAACTAAGTCCACACACGAAATCACTGAGGTTAATATCCACAAGCTTTCAAGGCAAAGGACTCTAGGACCCATGGTTTGATGGCTCAGCAAAGCACTAGCCAGCAAGCTTGACAACCTGAGTTTGATCCCTAGAACCCCACATGGTGGATTAATACTGGCTCCAGAGTTACAGGTACGAAAATAAGCAAATGTAAAAGGCTGTTACAACAAGACTCAACTGCAGAAAAGTGTCCATGTTGCCCTAAGTCACATCACAAGGTATGTATGTGCCTCACAGTGTGACAGTTCATCTCCTAACACAGTCTCGGTTTGTTCTGAGAGAAGGTCTCACTGTATCCCAGGCTAGCTGAGCCTGGAACTGGGGCTCCTTCTGCCTCAGGATCACAAAGTGCACGGATTACAACTGAGGCAACCCTCCACAAGCTTTCTTCTTTTTCTTTTCCTCTTATCTCCTTCCAGACTGTGGGGAGATCATCAAATAAGCACGGGGTTGAAGGCGAGGACAGCAGACTAGAATGGCTAGGGCAGTGTCCTGGCCATCCCACCACTCCATACAGGTTGCTACCAACAGTTGGGGATCCCTACTAACTTCATGTGTTCCCCAAGAGTGAGTGATTTTCCCTCATATGATCATCATGAAAAATATAGAACCCAAACGTGTTTGGTTGTTAAAGTATACTGCTGGGGCTGGAAAGATGGCTCAGTGGCTAAAAAGGCTTGCTGGACAACCATCAAGAGCAGGGTTCAGACTCCAGCGCCACTGATCTCCCACACGCTTATTACCCTAGCACTGGGGGTAGGAGGGGCAAGTGGAGACAGACTCGCTGACTTACCAGAGTCACTGAACACATGACCTCAGGGAGAGACCCTGTCCCACAAGAATATAGTATAGGGAGGGTCTGCTTACACGCACACAAGTGTGCACACTCACCTATGGCCCTGGTAGGGGAGGTAGATCCCCAAACTGGTTAATTGTTTAGCAAACTGAATAAGAAAATGTATTCAAATATACAAGGGACTTGTGATATAGCTCAGTGGGTAGAGTACTTGCCTAGTATGCACAAAGCCCTGGGTTCAAGTCCCAGAACCTCCTAAAACAACTGTGGTGGCATACAAGGCAAACAAAGGTCAAGGCCTGAGCTACCTATACGAGGCTGTCCCCAAACAACAAGTTATTATCATCAAGATACAATTGCATCTTCAAGCTCTTCCAGTGCTTAACGGGACCTAATTCTTACAGAATTCAGACAACTGGAGCCCTGACTATAAAGCTATGGGCTATTTCACCATGAAGGCAAGCAATAGAGCCAAAGACGCTGCATCCTAGATACCGCACCTAAGCCAAGAGTATTAACTTACTTAGTAAGGAAGGGAAGCAGAGGCAGCTAAAGCGAAGTTCTAAATCAACTCCTACAATGCCTCCTACCAACTGACAGAGCAGGGACATGTCCTACAGCCCTACTCCCTACACACAAAGTGACAGTCCCCAGGGTCAGTACAAAGGGTTTAAATTGATAAACACTCAAAGACTTAGGTTTAAAAACGCGCCGACAGGCTGCTATGCACCCCTAGGGAGGCGGCAGCCCCGTCTACCTCCCAGCAAGAACGATTCCAGTTTAGTGTTCCAGGTCTGGTGTACAGTATGCATACAATACAGAAGAGAATAGCTGTTCACACAGTGACCCGCGCTGTATTTAAGCTGGATATTAACATTTAAACACCATAAAATGTCCACCGTAATGTTCACTGGCCTCACTCAACCTTTGGCCACCTCTGACCAGCGGCAGCACCTAGATTAAATCCCCATCCACGGCATGCCATACAAGAAAACGCGACGAATTCATCTAAGGAAGACCCACTGGCTCCCAGTGACCTACAAGGACAAACTTCCTACCTTCATTCAGCCAGCCCCCACCAAAGCTCTGTAGGCTGGTAACAACGGCTACAGAAATATGACCTGCGGGGGCGTGGGGGGAGAGGATGGAGGGATGGGGGAGGGGGGGCCTGTGCTCAGTCAATAAACCGCAATTCACAAAGCCTGGTGAAGAGCCGCGACGAGCCTACAGCAACACAAACAAAGCCCCGGGCACCCGGTTAAGTGCTTCTTAAACTGCACCTGGGGGGCTCAGGGGTTTTCTAACGCTCACGGTTCCAGAGCCTCCAGCGAGTACAGACCTTCTCTATTGAACCTCAACTGTGCCCAACACCGAAGTAGAACTCAAGGCCGTTTCAGTTTCTAGCGACCCACAGCTAACTATGCCTACTGCCACTTCCCCCATGAAGACTCCGGGGCCCGATGAAAAAAACGCCAATCAAGAAGAACGCGTTTACCTGGCAAGGAGGAAGCCACCCAGAGTGCCCATCCTCACTTCACATATAAGTTCTTTTTTAGACTCCGGTCTGGCCCGGGCCCCGCAGGTGGCTGTCTGCCCACAGGCGATACGAGCGTTGCTCAGAGGGCAGGGCGGCCCAGCAACGGCTAAAAAACACCTGTCTCCTCCTGCCTTACACCGCGGGTGGCTGGCCGTGCCAACCCAGTCACCTGCCACGCTTCTCAGTCTTGAGCCAGGGAAAACAACCGACGTCAGACCAACACACGAGCTGAACTGACCCGCAACATGAATCCCGAAGTAGATTTCAAAAACTGACCGTGTGTTATCAAAAAGACTGTAAATTGGTGAGCCCCCCCCGGGAGGGGGTCCAGTAGCAACTTAACCTGCATCCCTACAGCTGGGACAAAAAAATATATATATAGCGTTAGCCCCGAACGAAGCCAGGAGACTCGGTTTCCATTCTTAATTTTTCTAAGTCTCGAAGATGCATTAAAAAAAAAAACATGCGGCCGCTTGTTCAGTAATCTCCGCCCCCCCCCAGTCTCCCCCCAAGTATCCAGCCTTCCAGGACTTTCTGAAAGCGAGGGCGAACCTTCCCAGGCTTGCTTGGCATAATTACGTCTTCGGAACGCCATCCTAAATTTGAATGAAAATAATTTTCGTCTGCCGGGGAGAGGGGTTGGGGGAAGCGGGGGGGGAAGATGTGGGTCCGCGGCGTTTAAAAACTGGGCCGTGGAGCTCCGGCTCCCACAGCCACCGGGACCTTGCAGGGCTCCTCCCGGGGGTCGACGGCAGCGGGCAGCGGGCAGCGGGCTACTCACATCTGAACCTGGTCCACGGCCTGCAGGAGGCAGCGGCGGACGGGCGGGAGGGCGGGAGGGAGAGCGGGCGAGCCAACGGCCTGGGGGAAATAACAGCACCTCGCCAGCCCCGGCAGGGGGATGGCCGCGACCGCGCGCCCCCTCCCCCAGGCCCGGGGGGGAAGGGGGAGCAGCTGGCAGACACGGCCTCCCTCGGCTGCCATCCCCCTGCCGCGCCGCGCCGGGCCCCGAGGACCGCTGCCGAGGTGGAGAGGCGCGGGGGGGGGGGGGTGGGGTGGGGGTGGAGGAGGGTCTCCTCGGGCGCCCGCGCGTCCTCGGGCGGCGCTGCCCCGGCTGACGTGGCCCACGCGAGGCGAGGCGAGGCCGCGAGCGAGCGAGCGAGCATCCCCCGCCCACCCCGAGAGCCCCCGGCCCGCTTACCTGCGGCACCGCGCGCGGGCGGCCCGGGCGGGTGGCGGCGAGAACCGAGCGAGCAGGGGGCGGGGCCGCCGCCTCGGGAGCCGCGGGCCACAGGCGAGCCCGCCGGGCCTCATGAATGAGACGCGGCGGCGGCGGCGGTGGCGGCGGCGGCGGGCGGCGGGCGAGCTGGCTGTGGGCTGCGCGCACGCCCCGCCCCGCCCCGGCCACGTGACGCGAGCTCCGCCCCCTCCCTCCCCGCAAGCCGCGCGCCGCCGCCGCCGCCGCTCGGGCCCTGGGCTCCGCCCCCTCCCCTGCGGGAGAGCGCGGCTCGCCACGGGCGCGGGGCTCGGGAGAGCGGCTTAGAAAGTTCCCTGTCGTCCCCATGGCAACCTCGCGGGCGGGTTTTGAGAGTCCAGCTGCCCCCCCCCAAAAAAAGAGTGCAACGCGGCCGGTTGCACGCCGGTGTGCAGACGTGACGCCCAGTGCGACACGGTGCACGCAGAGGCGACCGCCGCGGATCCGGCGTCCTTGCTTGTTTTCCCACCCGCCCCCGTCTAAAAAAACAAGTGCGCTTTCGGAGACGGCGGCCCCGCTGTGAACGTCAGTGGTGCCGACCGCTTCTCGTCCGGTTTGTCCGCGGTGGCAGCCTACGGCATGCATCCCTTCTAAATGTTCTTTTCTCCGTGTGCACAGGCGAGCGTGGACCTGCGCACAGTCCCGGGGCCGTGGACACGGACATGCATGCAGACTGTCTCCGGGTTTCGATGGGTGTAGGCTATGCTGGGCCCGGGGAGACCCGTTCTCTTCAGGGGCGACCTTTCCATCCCAGTTCCACGGTGTGGGGCTCGACCCGGTTGCCCCGGTGGTAACTAAGGCCCTACGCAGACGCCCTAGCCTACTAGGAATTTTCGCTCCAATGAGGCTTTCCATCTGATTCACCGGCGAAAGATTTTTTTTTTAAAGATGGAAACTTTCCCGTAGAAGGATCTTAAAGTGCAATTAAAAATAGAGAAAGGACCCCCCAATTTCCAAGTCAGTACAATGGAAACGGTGACGCCTCCCTGAGACAGGCGCTTCCAGGCAGGCCCACGTAGCTCACAGCCTGGAGTGTTTGTTTCCCCGGCCTTTCCTTCTCCAACTTGACTTTGCCTGTTCCTCGCGGGCTGGTCTCATTACCTCCTCCTACCTTGGGAGAGAGACAGCCTCGAGTTTCCTTCCTTTCATCATTCAGGAAGCCCTAGACAAGCCGCCCTTCCTCTGCCGCCGCCCCGCTTTGGGTTTGACAACTTACTCAGAGGGATTGGTTCATGTTCCTAGCATTTTCCTCATCCTCTGGTGGCTGCCTGATGTATACTGCCCCCAAGGCAGAGTAGGGGCCAATTGAATGTTTGCTGAATGTCCCTTGACTTCCTGTATCTGATACCTGTGAAGCGGGGCACACCCAGCTCCCATCTGCTTCACTGCCCAGGTCCCCTGTCACCTGCCAGTTCCATAGTCAGGAAACTCTCCCCACCAACTGTCCCTCTTCTAGTCTAGGTCATAGAGGATTTTTGACTTGTTTTTAAGTCTTCTTCCACTATTTCAAATAAAGGAGGAATTTTTATCCTTTATGTAGTTTGGTACAAAATGTTTTCCCGTTGGGACTCGTGTTTTGGGCTACTTGATGTTTTAAGAAGGAACATCTAGCCAGGCAGTGATGCACGCCTTTAATCCCAGCACTAGGAAGGCAGAGGCGGGAGGATCTCTGTGCATTCGAGGCCCGCCTGGTCTTACAGAGTGAGTTCCAGTACAGCCGGTGCTACATACAGAAACCGTGTCTTGGAAAAAAAAAAAAAAAAAAGGAAGGAAAGAAGGAAGGCAGACATGGAACACCATATATTTATTGGCAAAGCTGTCTCCATTTATTTGGCGTCTATTTCTTATTTGCCCAAATAACATTCTTCATGGTTAAGAAATTGAGTGGGCGTGCTTTACTAAACTCTTATTAGACTTGTTTCTAGGTAGTACGTGAACTCATTACTGTTACATGATGAAAAAAAAAGTCAATGTATCAAGAAAACCAAAGCGACAGTGGCTAAGGTCTTGCATGGTATCTTCAGTGCTCTTCAACTTAAATCTTGGAAAATGGGTGTTTTGAATATTAATCGGCCACGGTTTTCAATATAAGCCTGAACTTTTATTTCGGCTGGTATTTACAAAAGGTGTTTTCTTGTGTGAAGTAAGACCTGGCTCCTGATCAGTAATCGACAAAGTTAAAAAAAGAAAAAAAAATAGTGGGCATCTTCTCCAATCCCATCTTCAATGAACTCCCCGACTCCCAGCTGTGCTCCTAAACTTGCCTGTGTCGTATATGTGAGTAACGACCTACCTCAAAGAGTAGATGTCAAAACCACGCAAACTGCTCATACAAGGGCACCTCAACCATTAACTGGGATTAATTTCCACAAAGGCGTGTTTCGTTCTAATGGAACATCTGAAACTCACCCACTAATGTATATCAGCTGTCTTTCATGTGAGCTTAACTTGTCTTACTGTTCATCTTTAAGCTTGGTAAATCTGAGAAGGATTTAATAAACTGTAAGATCCAAAAAGATGTGCTTGGACCGTCTCCTTTTTTTTCCCAGCGTAGGCCATACTCTCCTCCAAGCTATCTGTTTATCCCACAGATGCAGCATGCAGCATTACAGGAACAGCATGAAGCTTGCTTTGAAAGCCTGTCTCCCTCTTCCACTCATGGTACTGCCCAGGTTGAAGATACAAGGCCCCTCTCGATGTCAAACATGGCGGACTCCTTTTGGGTCCTACATTTCGTGAGACACTCTTTTTTTTTTTTTCCTTTTGTTTTTTGTTTTTTTTCCGAGACATGGTTTCTCTGTGTAGCTTCGGAGCCGGACCTGGAAGTCACTCTGTAGACCAGACTGGCCTCGAACTCACAGAGATCCTCCTGCCTCTGCCTCCAGAGTGCTGGGATTAAAGGCGTGCGCCACCAACACCCAGCTGGTGAGAGATCTTGACCACCATTTCCTTCTTGAAGCTTCCTCCTTCAGTCATCAGCTGGGTGCCTCTGAAGTCTGTGTGCTTGAACTGGGTGGCTTTCACTATCCCAGCAAAGCCCACCAAGAGGTCAGATTCTACCAGATTCTAGTCTGTCCTTTGCAGTCCCCTTTAAGCCTGGTCCAGAATCTATCGCAGCTAGTGGCACCACCATCCATTTAGTGTCAGAAGCTTAGGGAAGAGTCTCAATCCTGCTTCTCCCGTAGCATGTCCATCCTGCCTGCCTCAGCATTTCTACTGTTTAGACTTCTCTGCAGAATGACCACAACAGCCTCTTCGATATGTGGCTTCCCTCTGGTTGCAGTGAGTCTCTCCATCTCTCTGAAAGCCCAGCAAACCAAAAGTGTAGTAATATATTCCTCAGCACCTGTAGCATTGACCACGCCTGTTGGGCGTGGCCACAGGTGGATGTGACCTGTGACAGGTTAAAAGTATAAGGATAGGGGTCAGAAACCCACTTTGGGTTGGGGAGAGCATTGGGGAGCAGGAACACCTCGGCAGTTGCTTATTGTTTTCCGTGTAAGTTATTTAAACTCCAATTATACTGGTCTGGTGAATCCTAATATCCACACCTTCATCTGGTGCCCAATGTGGGTGGATTCGCTTTCCCTCCATCCCTCCAGCCCTTAATCCTAAACGCCTACCCTATTGGCAGATCTGTCCTTGCCAATCCATTACCTTCAGGAAAAAAAATCTGACTTCCCTATGAGCACATCCAGAGTGCTCCCTTTTCCTCCAATTTTCTCGCCTGTTCATCCGTTCTGCACACTTCAGCCAGTCCTTCTGCAATGTGATAACTTTTCAAATGTTAGCTTCCGTATTCCTGGCACTTTCCTCTTTACAAGAAGTCAGCAGGCATGCCCCTCGCTCAGGGCAGTCTGCTGGTGAGATGAAAAGCAGAAGTTGTCTGGCAAGATGTTTCCTTCCTGCCTCTCCTCCCCCCCCCCCACCAGACGCCAAAATTACCAAAGAACCCAAGTCAAAAGGGAGAAGATGTACCTTTCAGGAAATCCTGGAAGAGAAGGCTTTCTCTGGGGTAGGAGGGGAAGAGCCTATGTCCTCCTGTCTGGCAGCTCCGAGGGCAGGGTGGGGGTGGGGAATGAGTCTTCAGAAAAGCAGCTTTGCTGTTTCTGGCTTTGGCGTTTCCCCGGGGTCAAACGACAACCTGCATTTCCTGTGCCATTGCTGCATGCCCAGCTCCTCTTATAACTCTATTCAACGGAGACGAGAGTGACTCAAACCCAGGCTCTCAGCTTTTAAGTAGTGACGCTGAAAATTGCCCCTCAGCCCTCTGTGACTCTGGAAGCTGTTTTTGGAAAGAGACATTATTTTTAGTTGACTCATAAGACTGTAAATTTACATTTGCAGGAAGTGTCATGATCAAATCAAGAAAACTGGCTTGCCGTTGAGATGTTTAGTCTCTTGGTCTTAGGCACATTCAGAATGTCTATCGGTAATATTAAATAGGCAACTAACGATGTCAACCACAGGCATCTTCTTTTGCCTTAGAACGCTGGTTCTTTCTTCTGTCCAGCTACACGCCGGTGACTCTTAGCCCTCCTTCATCTGTTCCCATCTCTCACACACCCTTCACAGTAACCACTAATGTCTACTTACTCTCCAGCCCTGACGAGATCAGCATTAGCTTTCAGGCGTGAATTAGAATGCCCCCCAACCCGTATCTTAAACCCCCAGTTCCCATCACCTTCCATCAGTGGGTTCTACTGCTCTCCCCAATCAATGATTCTTGCTTTTTCCTCCCCTTAGGCCCTTAGGAAGAGGTTGCATTCATAGCTCTTCCTGCATGCACACCAGCCAATCAATAAACACCTATTGAATAATAAAGACTTTTTTTCTAGGAACATTGTTGTCTACGGGTCCAGACCGACTCTACCTCTAAAAGAAAAAAAAAAAAAATACAAGGTTGCTGCAGGCTTTAGGGACAGACCTGCCTGGCGTGGCAAGGGAAAGGAGAAAAGACAAACACAGACAGAAACCTGAGCTCTCAGCAGGAGAAACTGCAGCTCATTTTGTTGTTGTTGTTGTTTTGTTTTGTTTGTTTTATGTTTTTTGAGACAGGGTTTCTCTGTATTGTTTTGAAGGCTGTCCTGGGACTCACTTTGTAGACCAGGCTGGCCTGGAACTCACAGAGATCTGCCTGCCTCTGCCTCCCGAGTGCTGGGATTAAAGGCATGTGCCTTTAATCCCGTTTATATATACAGTTGAACATGGAGGCAGGGTTATTTCACACAGCTGAACAAAGAGGTGGGGTTATTACATACAGGTAAAGAACAAGGCAGACAGCTGGATAAAAGAGACAGTTTTAGTCTTCTTTGAAGAAACCTCTGGCGGGGGAGCAGTCAGTCTTCAAGCCCTGGAAAATCTTGGGGGAGAAAGTTATGATGGGCATCTTCTGCACACACTGTCAACACCCACACACAGACCAAAAGGGAAGGCTTCCCATTTCCCTAGGGTCCTTTATTATGTCGCTGATCCCATAACAACAGCGTGCATTCAGTCAGGACTTCCTCCAGCCACACACAAGGCTAACTGCTTAAAATACATTCTGGAAAAGTCTATGAATTGGCAAGAAATTAAGAAGTAAAGCAGCACAGAGACAGGATGAAGGTCAGAAGTCAGAGAGAACAGAAAGTCAGCCTTTGGCCTGAAGGGTATTTGCTAAACTTGAATTTGAGCAATGCTTCCTGCAACCTTGTCTTAAAGGGCGCAAGGAAAAGATGACATATGCTTAATAGAAGACCAGTGAAAATGGACCCCCCAGAAGCAAAATAAAAGAAGGAGGAAAATTAAAAGTTCTTTTGAGAGCCCCACCCCCAAACTCACTACAGTTGATACATGTGAGCCATAAAGCAAGGTCCAGCTAGAAGCATTTTGAAAAATTTGGAAAACCCTGACTAGAGTCTGTGACCATAAAACAACTAAGAAGAGATTTTAATTTTTAAAAGGTAACTAGCCTGGTGGTGCAGGGTTATAATCTCCGCACTTGCGAGGGAGAGGCAGGAAGATCAAGAATTTGAGGCCAGCTTGGGTATAGAGTAAAACCTTGTCTCAAATGGTAATAAAAATAATTAAAATTAAATAGGTAAAGATAACTAGAAAAACTGACTAAGAAAGTTGTGGTCAAGAAACAAAGCTGTAAAAAGAGAGAAAGAAACGAAGGTGTTTGGAAATATAGTGATGCTGCCATGCTATATATCAGATATCTGATACTGCTATATACCAGATACTATGCATCAAAGTTTCGGAAGCAAAAACTAAACGAGCAATTAATGAGAATTGTTAAGAGAAGCTTTTTGAAATGCAAGGAACCTAAAGGTTAGAAAAAGAATAGCAAAATAAAGGCAAAGAGAAGAAAGTAACAAGTCAAAATAATAAAACTAGACACGAACACACAGCAGAAACAACACCTGCCCAAGTTTGTTTATCTAAGACTCATAGATTTACAAACCTTGTAAAAAAAAACAACGAAGAAGAAAAAAGAAAGGAGGACACCAATGTGAGTGACATAGAAGCTATACTCACACGCCATCTAGAAATTACAAAGAGAATGTTGCTTTCGTGCTCAAGAATTTGAAAACTGAACAAGAAAGTCAGGACAGAGTCATAATCATGCAAGAACTTACACCAGTGGATATTTTCCAGAAGGAAGAATTCAGCCTGAAAGAGTTCTCTGAAGGCTTTTGGTGCAAGCTATCCCACAGTGTAGGATTGAGGGCTTCTTTTCCGGTTCATTTCACGGAGGTAGGGTAGCATTACACCAAAATGTGACCAGAAGAGTGTGAGAAACAAAAAGTCCAGTCCAATCTCACTCAAATACAGATGCAAAAACCCTGAGTGACACTTTGGCAACTTCAACATGGCAAAACAAGACATCAGAACCAAACCAACTTACCGAAGAATACAAGTTGGGCTACCATGAGGAAACCAGTAAATGTAATTCACCACATTAAATAACTGTTGATGATCTCAACAGACACATTCAGCACCCATCCAGACAAAGTTCACAGAAAGCTAGGAATGCTTTGTTTGTTTGTTTGTTTTTAAGTCAGGCTCTCAATTTGATATCCTGGCCAGTCTGGAACTTTCTATATAGACCAGACTGATCTCACAGGGATCTACCTGCCTCTGCCTCCCTGAGTGCTAGGATTAAAGACAATCTCACCACATCTCTGAGGAATGCTTTTCTTGAAGAGGGGTATTTTTAGAAACCTACAGAAACTATCGTAAGCCACCCTTCCTTTGAAAGTTGAGCACAACTATTGGGTTAGCTGCATTTTCTTCTCCTCAGGACTGTATGAGGAGCGAAGCTGTAGGGTAAAAAGTAAGATATATCGAGATTGGCAGTGGGACACTCACAAGGATGTGATGGGGTATGCAAATATCCAAGAGAATATTTAAGATGGTGAGACTTAAAATGGTGAACAGAGTGTAAGCCTTTATAATGCTGCTGGATGCTGGAGTCAATAGGCAAAAATCATTAGCATTTGAAAACAGTGGCAGTAAGTAGGAAGTTTTTGTTGTTTTGTTTTTTGTTTGTAGTTTTAAAGATCCTGCTATACATCATATCACTATTCCCCGGACAAACTACCGCCGTCTTCAGATCAGCTGTGCCTGCTTGTGTACGGTCATCACAGTTGGCTTTTGTTGACAGTTGACATTCCCCCATAGGAGGAAGGGCAGAGGAGGTCACGGAACCCTCATCCAGGGCAGAGGAGGTCACGGAACCCTCCTCATCCAGGCATCCAGCCAGGCCTCTCAATGAGCTGCGTGCAATTCTGCTGTAACTTCACATGGCCTTGGGAAGGGGCTGAGGTATATGGGCAACAAAGACTAGGGGAGGGGTCTCCGTCTTCAAAGCTAGCGGGAGTCATCTTCCAGGGTATACGCAGACCCGGCGTGGCTGCTCAGAAACCGCCCACATTCCTGCCCATAGCCCCTTGCTCACAGCTGTGTAAATCAGCCGGAGAAACTCATTGGTCCCCCTGAGTGAAGGGGGAACTAACTCTACCTTAGCTTGTCATTGGGCACTTAGGAGGAGGAGGTAGACATCGTTTACATCTCCCCCCCCAGAAGGAATTGTATCAACAGATCTATGTAGAGTGATACCAAGGAACAAGGTAGTAAGGGACGAATCAAACAGAGCATCTCCTGACCTTTATGAAGATCATTCTAAAACCTTACTGAAAGATCAAGATCAAATAGAGGAATAGTGTGTCTGTGTGTATCTGTGTCTTACAGGTTAAAGTGCTGGGGTGGAAAGGGAAGTCTTCAAGCTTGACACGCACTCTGCCACTGAGCTACACTCCTGCTCTTGTTCTTAGGAGGCAGTGTTTCTTTTCCATCTTAGGCTAGCCTTGAAGTCATGATTTTCCTGCTTCTGTATCCTGAGTGATGGGATTATAGGCATGCATCATTACACCCAGCTAGAAATAACAGGCCAGAAGATCTCTATATTTAACCTGTGGAGTCAATGCAATTACGTAGAGGGCCCATTCTTCAAGAAATTCTTAAAGAACATAAAAGTAAAAGTTACCTTGTAGCTATCAAAACTCTAAGAAGTAGGTCGAATGGTACTGGTACAGGGGTAGACAAACGATTAAACACTTTGGTGTAGACGGAGTTTCTTTCCTGCTAGGTCCCGCAGCCATTTAGGCCCAAATACACACACGGAGGCTTATATTATAAATGGTCTGGCCAATGGCTCAGGCATCTTACTGGCTTGCTCTCTCTTAATTATTAACCTATTTCTAGTAATCTTAGTATTTCCACATGGTCTTGGCTTACTGGAGAATGCCCAAACCTGTTATTTCTTTGGCGACTACACGGCGTCTCCCTGGCTTCTCCTCTCTCTGTGTCCCTCTTCCCAGCATTCCTAGTTGGTTAGCCCTGCCTATACTTACTGCCTGCTTACCAACTAATCAGTGTGTATTCATCAACCAATAAGAGAAACATATATACAGAAGGACATCCCCCGTCAACTTCAGTGTCAGGAAAGGGGAGTGAGAAAGGATGACTGGGACTAAATTTGACAAAGTAAATGACGTGTATGCATGAAAAATGTCATCCCAAAAGATTATGCACTGATAGTCACAATAGAAATGCCCATGACAGACACTTGAGCAGGCACTGGGGATGCAGCTCAGTTGGTAGAGTGTTTGACTAGAATGCACGAAACTTTGGGTCCAATTCCCAGTACTTCATAAACTGGAGGGGTGAGGGATGAATGCCTGTGAGCCTATCACTTGGGAAGTAGAGGCAGGAGGCTCACCCTCAGCTACTCAGTGA